TATAACGCCCCCACGGCTGAAAGGGTGAGCATGTTTGGTGGGACGGGGATTCGAACCCGCGACCCTCAGATTGCGAGTCCAGCGCCCTAACCACCTGGCCATGCCGGGCCGTCACAATGGTCTTTGTACAGGTCATAATGCGGATGTTATTCAGTGCCCTCACGTCTAGTACCCCGGATCTTTTGATCTACAACCATTAACCATTAGGCCACGGTTGGCCAGTTTAATTTTTAAATGTAGATATAAAACATAGCTGAAACCCTGGCAAGTGATCTTAATTAAAGATTAATAATAAAAGATAGGAATATAAAAACCTCAAATACATCAGTATCAAACATAATATTGAAATAAGCATTCTGTTGACAACAAATCAAATTCGTCAAAAACGTTTTACCAAGACGGAAAGTAATTTGTTTTACGACATTATGAAATTGTTCATTTTTATTAAGTATTACAATGCTGTGTTGTCCAGAAATCACAATGTGACAAGGTATTTATGGTCTCTAATTATTAGGGTGGACCAAGTTCATTATGTAATTGTGATGATACAGTCTAATGTATTCTCCTCGTTGCCACCGGACTCAGACCCTCAATCGAAATATGAGTATCGGGATTCCTAGTTGCACATTATAGATTTCTTTTGCTCTCAGTCGATTCATCCAGTTCTGTGATGAACAGTTTATGGATAATTGATATCCAGCAGCTTGAATATACTTGTCCACAGTCCTGAGTTCTCTTCAAAGTCGTTTCAGGTTTTACACGGACAAAAGGATAACTAATTTTGGGCGACAAGGCTAACTGATCAGCACGTCCAGGGAGTTTCCATTTTATCAGATACTTAGTCACTATGGATTTGGGTAGTTGGACTGAAAACGTTTCGATAACTCTTTTTTACATCCATTTTATCAGATACTTAGTCACAATGAATTTGGGTAGTTGGACTGAGAAAGTTTCGATAACTCTTTTTTACATCCATTTTATCAGATACTTAGTCACAATAGATTTGAGTAGTTGGACTGAGAAGTTTCGATAACTCTTTTTTACATCCATTTTATCAGATACTTAGTCACAATAGATTTGAGTAGTTGGACTGAGAAACGTTTCGATAACTCTTTTTTTACATCCATTTTATCAGATACTTAGTCACAATAGATTTGAGTAGTTGGACTGAGAAAGTTTCGATAACTCTTTTTTACATCCATTTTATCAGATACTTAGTCACAATGGATTTGGGTAGTTGGACTGAGAACGTTTCGATAACTCTTTTTTTACATCCATTTTATCAGATACTTAGTCACAATGGATTTGGGTAGTTGGACTGAGAAAGTTTCGATAACTCTTTTTTACATCCATTTTATCAGATACTTAGTCACAATGGATTTGGGTAGTTGGACTGAGAACGTTTCGATAACTCTTTTTTTCTACATCCAAGAAACATTCCTTTTCCCAGCTCCTTTCACAATATTTTGATTTTAACTGACAGCTACTGACTTTTGTAAACCCTATACAGCAGTTCCCATAAGGTGTACAAAGTTCAGTGGCGAAAAGCCCATCATTAGAAGTAACTGCATGCTGACTCTATACTTTTGGTAATATGGTTAAGATTGAATGACTTTTGTAAACCCTATACAGCAGTTCCCATAAGGTGTACAAAGTTCAGTGGCGAAAAGCCCATCATTAGAAGTAATTGCATGTTGACTCTATACTTTTGGTAATATGGTTAAGATTGAATGACTTTTTCTTATTAATTTACTGAATTTTGTTTATTTCTAAACCATCTCATATTCTTAGATGCCTCGTATAAGTTTAGAAGATACCTACCAAAACTTTTCACAAATCCTCAGCTCTATGGGACTCGCTGACGTCTTCACACCCGGGTATGCTAACCTGTTCGGCATCAGCCCCTTCCGATGGCTGCACGTGACGGACATCATCCATAAGACAAAAATAGAGATTAAAGAAGATGAAAGTGATATGAGAACTGAAACTTCTGAAGACGATGAGGCGATTGACTTGAAACTCGACAGGCCTTTTCTGTACTTCATCATGGATAGCATTAGTGGTTTAGCTATAGTATTAGGTAAATTCTCTAAATAATTGGAAAACTAACTTGTCATGTGTAATTTACTGTATTGCACACTTTTGCTTTTCAAAATTAAATTCCTGTTGGGTTTTGTATAAATTTTTAATATAAATATGTGTACAAACCATACCAAATTTGTGTTGTGTTGATAAAGTAATAGTAATCGTGTAAACAAGAAACGTTTTGAAAATATAACAGGTTACTGTTATGTACTTAACATTGAAGAAAATATTTTTAAAGACCTTCCTTCCTTCTCTTGAAGTCAGAAAGTAATGCGAACATTCTCAATTAAACAAAATTTATACATCTACTATTACCACACCGGTCAATGACATAGTAAAATAACAAGTCTTTAGTCGTATTTATTACATCTTTACCACACCGGTCAATGTCTAGCTCAGACCTTGACCCAGCTATTGCTGAGACTTTGGCCCAGCTCTTGCTGAGACCTTGACCCAGCTCTAGCTCAGACCTTCACCCAGCTATTGCTGAGACCTTTGACCCAGCTTTTGCTGAGACCTTGACCCAGCTTTAGCTTTCTTTAACAGGGTATAAGGACCAAAATGACAGATATTGTAATTTAGTTTGGTAAATCATCAAGTTAAAAAAAAAAGAGTCCAGTTTTGAAGTACAAAATTTCATATGGCTAAATAATTTTTACAAACCTCTAAAAATGTTAATTTTGGGATTCTCCCTGTACATGTCATTTCTTAATAGCTTATAGACTGGGAAATAACAAGACACGTTGTCTGATTATAATAACAACTAAACAGCACTAAGACTTCGTATGAGAACTTTAGATGAAGGTGTTTTGGAGAGACCTACGTGGTCTCACACTCATGTACTTGGCCTGATATTACTAGCAGCCATTGATACTACATATTTATGTAGAAGTCAGTCAACATACTAAAGTCAGTCAACATACTAAAATACTGTAATTTTAAACATTTTCGTATTAGGTGACTATCTCAACTACAGGTGATTTTCTGTAATACTATATATATGTTATCAGTAATAAAAAGGTGTAATAAATACGAGTAAAGACTTGTTATTTTACTATGTCATTGACAGGTGTGGTAAAGATGTAATAAATACGACTAAAGACTTGTTATTTTACTATGTCATTGACCGGTGTGGTAAAGATGTAATAAATACGACTAAAGACTTGTTATTTTACTATGTGCTGGGTCAAGGTCTCAGCAATAGCTGGGTCAAGGTCTGAGCTAGAGCTGGGTCAAGGTCTCAGCAAGAGCTGGGTCAAGATCTCAGCATTTCTATACTCTTTTATGCTCAATGTGTGGTGCATGTTGAGTCTCGTAATCCAAATGAACAAAAGCTCTTTCCACCTCAGGCAGAGCTTCGAGCTTCTGTTGTAGTGATTCACCGACATCGTGGGCATCTTTTAACGGCGTATCTTCAGCTAATACAATGTCCACTTCTACCAGAAGATTTGTACCAAAGTGAAAAGCTCGTACAGTGTCGATCTGTCGAATGGTCGAGTCGTGATTAAGAGCAAGCCATGTGACCTTCTTCAGGAACTCTGGTTTGGCAGTGTAACCCGTCAGGAGTTTGATTTGCACTGTCACAAAGAATCATGTAAATAAAGTATTGATGACTGACATATATTTAATAAAAAAAAGTAAAACTATGTATGAAATAGGTGAAATTTCTTATTGTTCAAACACAGATTAGAAAAAGTAATAACAACTTTAACAGACGGAAAATAAGCTAATGATAAAAGGTAATTAGTAGTTGTCGGGCTTGTTGCACAGTACGACGCCAGAGGGCGACAGAAGTGTGTCGAATTCAGGTAATGAAGAGGAGAAGAAACGATGATGTCATAGACATCAGAGAAGATAACGTCATAGTTTCATGAAATATCACCAGAGGTTGCACTGCTTGGACCAACGTCTTGCTAGATGTGACATCATAGTTCCACGAAGTAAAATCAAAGGGTGCTGGTGCCATGACAAGCAGATATTATTATGACAATGGAAGTTGTCAAGAAATCATTTTGCTAGGCCACCATGATGATTTCATCATAGAGTGCTTCAACATTTTTATTGTTCTTGACAAAATGTCATTTCACTTACATACTTTTTACAGAGTTTCTATGGGTTTCTATGGTGCGAATAGTAGTTAGATACGATACAAAAAGCAATCAAAAGGGCGATAAAATAGTAAAATTTAATTATAAATAGATGTATACTGTTACGAGTTTAAAGCTACCTAGGATAAACGAATGGAGTTTCATGTTACATTTGAAGTCATTCTAGAAACAAAAAAGCATAATTTAGATTTATTTCTACTTTTTTTTTTTTTTGGTGCTTACGGTGTTGGTCAAATTGACCAACCAAACAACCATAGAGTTAAGGTAGATAAAATAACAGATAAAATATAACGTTTTACTGAAAACAAACATTTGAAATGTATTTAGGAGGTTTTAGAGATTACACAAATGAAATTTGAGGTTTTTGGGATGAAGAAAAGTATTTTCATCTCAACATGAAAATCACTTTATGCACGGACTATTGATGTTTATGATGTTTACTGAAAGACTGCCAAATTTCGTGAAGATATACACCTATATTAAAAGTTAGCAATATAAAATCTATAAAGACTTTAAATGATTACAAAGAAGCCACGTGGTTGGTCAAACTGACCAAGCCTGTGTTGAGACAGTGAAATGATATATGTTATTATAGTTGTCTTGTTGACTTGTGAAAGCGAAACAGCAGTTGTGTTAAAATGCTATGAAACATTGTCTGCTTAAAGTAAAGCTATCCTTAGTCAGACCTTGTAATGACATTTTCAGCCCATAGAAACTCTGTAAAAATTACATAAGTGAAATGAGATATTTTGACGAGAACAATAAAAATCATAGTTATATGGATAGCATAAAGACAAACTAGTGAAAGTGCAAGCATTTATGTAAAATTATTCCATGATATTTAAATAAGAGTCCTTTTCAGGACAATGATTGTAACAAAGTATCCTGAAATATAGAAACTAAAACTATAATGTTAAACGTGTACTAAATCACAAAAATACAATCGGCTGTCTTGTTCAATATTTATGAAAACATTAGCTGTGATAAAATCCATTCAAGTATTAGTAACATTATCATCTTATAGAAGTACAAGTAAATGAAAAATAAGATGAGACATGTTGAAACCTGCATGCTGTCCTACGGAAGTGTAGAAACACCTTTGTGAAATGTATACAATTAAACATAAGTTGAGATATCTATGCAATCCTGTTAAACACTATCCGACTTTGTAAAATATATGTAAATGAAAAATATAAACATAAGTTTAAATCAGTATTCAGTCCTATGGAACACTCTTCGTTTTTGTAAAATGTATACCCAAAACTAGCCTTAGTAACACTGTCCACCTTTGTAAAATGTAGTTAAATCCGCCTATAGTACCTAAGCAACACAATCCGCCTAGTAACCTCACCTGCCTACAGTGACACTATCCGCCTACACAAACACCATCTATAAACTATAAAGTAATATGTGTAAAATGAAACAATTTGTCAAGAACAATAAAAATCATAGTTATATGAATAGCATAAAGTCAAATTAGTGAAACAATAAGATTATTATTGAAATAATGGTTTTACTTGTAACATAATTAAATTTAAGCATTGATTACGTGTTGAGACATGTTGAATCATCTATGATGAGACGTCATAATTGTAGTTTCACAAAGTGAAACTATGACATCATTGTCTCTGGTGATATCATAGCATGGCGCTAGCGCCCTCTAGTGTCTATGATGTTCTTGTCTCTACATCTCCCCTGTGGTCGACACACTTGTGATGACCTCTGGCGGCGTGGCTGGAAAGTGAAGAGTAACTACTATAATTGCTATCAAGAAACATCTGCTCTAAAACGAAGTTTATATTATTAAGACATTGACTGCATTGCCTGATACCATGTTTTTATTACTAGATTAACTGACTGCATTAACTTCTAAATTGAAATATTTATTTGAATGCAATACACTGTTTTTTTGAATTATGAAAGACATTTTACTTCAGTTTCCATAAAGACTATCTCATCTCGTAGACATACTTTGAAAGCTTAACTTACAGGTTAGTGAAAGCTTTCTACATGCACCTCCACCAAGCTATAACTATTATCATTCTCTATAAGTTAATCGTGGTGCAGTTTATTGAAGTGTTATTTGAAGTCATATTTTCGGTATGAGAGTGCGGAACCGTGAAATTATCAAAGAGCGATGGAACAAGTACAAATCTAGTTTCATTCATCAGACATCAAATACTTGTATTTATTTTAAAACTACCTAATAATGTCAAAAGTAATTTTGTTACTAATTGTTACCCTCTGGCGATGACAATTAACCCCTTCTTGATAATACTTATAAATATGAACCAACAATATGTCTTTCGAAAGTCAACGTATCGTATACATAGGATTGAAAAAGTTTGTTTTATTTTTAAATTTTAACAATTTACTGTACCATGTTTAGCCAGTTACAAGACCCCATAGTCGTTGCAAAACTAGTAATATAATAGTACCTTAAAACGATTATGTAAAATTCAGAGTTGTTGAGACGCTATATAAGTTTTTATTTTTAAAATGCTACAGTTGTTAAAACCCATGTGGAAGATAATACCACATGTGCTAGAAACACGTTCTAACTTCAGGTCAGTACTTATTAAACTTTCGAAAATTTAAAGAAAACAATTATGTGAAACCATAAAAACGTTTTTCATGTGTGTTGTTTTCATCCGCCAAGCAATAACTTCATGATATTAATTAAGTGTTCAGATTCTATGTGTAGATTACAGACCTACCTGAGTACTGAACATGTTTAAAGTTATATCTACAATGAAACTAAGCAGCAATCAACTAGAATATTTTTATGTATAAATTCTGTAGTGAAGTATATTTAAAGAAGGTCTTAGCATGGAGCCTGAAACGTTGTCAGTGTAAAACGTGTAATAGGCCTTAGTATGGAGCCTGAAACGTTGTCAGTGTAAAAACGTGTAATAGGCCTTAGTATGGAGTCTGAAACGTTGTCAGTGTAAAAACGTATAATAGGCCTTAGCATGGAGCCTGAAACGTTGTCAGTGTAAAAACGTATAATAGGCCTTAGCATGGAGCCTGAAACGTTGTCAGCGTAATTACGTTTAAAAGGCCATAGCATAGAGTATGAAACTTAGTTATTGTGAAGAGCTCCCAGGTATCTATTTTACAGAGTAGAAACTCCTTAATATTCATTTCCTTGTTTAAATCGTTAGTTCATGAAACATCCAAAGTTTCTGACTCAAAGCTTGAATAAATATATAAAACAAAAACCCAAGTAAAAAACAAAAAACAACTACATACATCAGTTACACATCACAATTCTTGACAATATGGTGCTGGTTATTCAATAAAAACGTGAATTATGTTTGAGACAAAGTTCCGAAAAGCGGAAACTTCTGTCTTAGAATTTCGCTACTTTATTTAAACATGTTCAATATATATTGTAAGGTAATGTATTCATAAAAATCAACTATATACAAGCTCCCATGTTTTACGTTATTCATAGTTAATCTATACAAACAAAACTTATCTCTGCAATTTCCATGCAAACATAAGGGGCTATGTTTTCTTAGGGGATGATAATAAAGTACAAAAGGACTACTTACTCCAACCAGTAATCCCCCAATTAATTATTATATACATTCCAATCAATATAGCACCAAGAGGGTCAGCATATTTCCAGTACTTGGAACCTGAAATAGATTGTATTCTTGTGTCAATATGATTGGAATAAACTTATTTTCTATATGGATTAAGGAAAATTATAATAATAATTGCTTTGTGGTAAATATAGTTTAATATCTCGCCCATGATTTCAAAAGTTAGTTCCACTGTCAATGATAACATCGTCACAGTAAAGACACTACCGAGGAATATTCACCATTTAATACCCCAGATCTGAATTCCTAACTTACATATTCACAATCGAACACTAGAGAAAATAACTCTATCATGATGCAGAATAATGTAGAATAGATTTCATCCATGAAATCACAAACTAATATCATGAATGTTAAAAGTCTGTCGTAGTGGATTCAACTACCTATGTATCAAAATACTTGTTCCATTTATTTTATAATAACTGTTACACTGTAATTTGTACCTATTGAATCAATGTTAATATTATATAAGTTTTAAGTTCTTAGTGTGAGAAAGGTGACAAATTTTCTGTAGGCATCCCCTCTTCTCCATTTTATTCACCACCCCCTCCAATAAGTATGAAATTCAACACAAATTACTCATCATAAAATCGTCATTGCTCAGACAAACCATAATTTTTATAGCTTTCAATTTTATTTGGTTACAGAGCCATCAAATAGAAAATCAGGCCCCTTTTGCCACACCTACCTGTCACATCCTCTCTTTCAGGATTTGTTAATATACACCTGGAAAAAAGTTAAGCACCCCCAAATATTTTTCAGGATTGCTTATTGAATATAAGGTTTAATTTTCATGATGTTG